TCACAGCGATAACGAGCAGGGAGATCAACCAGGCTATATAAATAGCTCAGAAATGCATCCCGAATGAAAGAATTGAGCATAAGGAGCTACTTTATCCGCAAGAATAAGAAAAAAGATATTTGACGATCAACTGCATCAACACGAAGCGTCAGCTTACAGATACGTTACAAAGGCACTCGGAGCGAAGACGCTCGCACTTATATGCGAGGCAGCGGGTGTCCAAGAAGGAGTGTGAGGAAAACGCCGCTCAATAACGATTGACGAACGATACGTCTATTCTATTTTTAGTATTACATTCGTTTACCAGATTATTCTCATTCTTAAGGTATGGAGCCATGATTGATAGTTCAAACCCTCCAAGGAACAAAGTTTAGTTACACGGTGCTTAGGGCTCAGTACTGGGTACCTATGTGGCTCGTACCTTCTATTGGTTTTATTGACCAGATTGTAAATTTTTACAGCAGAGTAATTTGATCTAGATATGGCACTGTTGAAAAGGAGCATAATTAACTTGTCAGTTTCATCAAATTAAAAGTTATACACATACAATCAGTTGACAGTGTCAAGATGGCGGAACCCTTTATCTTCGCCTTGCAAAAATCTAGCTTTTCATTTATAAAAAACCTTGCATCGAATTATATCCTATGTAAAAATGTCAAATGTTTGTTATCTGCGGCATGCCAGCCTTGTGCTACAACCTCTGCATTACGGCCACAAACACCGTGTACAAATTTCTGTGGTTGATTCGTCAGAAAAATCCCTATAGTGCATGGACCTGCCAATGCAAGTCCGACTTTAGATAGTAAGATTTTGTAAGCATTAGGCTATTTTTGTGTGTGGATACAAAGTAAAGTAATCACAAGTAGTCTCACCGATGAGATTGTTTCGAAAACAAAAATTCAATATCAAGAATGCGTGCAATTACAAAGTTTGTGCACGAGCTATAATTACGTTTTCTTCCCATATTCAAACATAAATGATGAGAGGATAGATGTGATTGAAATTGATACAACACATCAAGCTTTTTCCCACGTAATAAAAGGGTCAACGCAAAATTAAAATGTCTTAGAATTAAATGATATTTAATGTCTGCTTATCATTGTTTCTTAAAGCTATGATATTACCAAATTAAACATGTGCTCTGATGAGTATTTAAACAATGATATTAACCAATCAACAATGTGTTTGATCGAACCAACTAATTTTAAAATGTATAGATTTGCCTTAATATAGGTCACAATGTTACCAAACTGCCATTTATTTTGTCGATTTGATTGGATTTTATAGAAGTATACAAAATTTATATGGTGTAAGTACACAAGAATACAGCTCTTACACAATTGCAGGCCAGACACAGAGCAAGCTTTCATCAGCTTAAATCAATGTTTAAGGTGCATACTTGCCCTTCAAAGTGTAAAGCATGATCCATATGTTGTAATAACAAGGCTTTGAAAGGGTAATGCTGATTTGTGTCGCAACAGTAAAATTGGGATATGGTGTAAGCTTGCATCATCGAAGATTGCTAAAGAATCAGCGCTATATCAATTATCTACTGTAAGTATATCATCTGCGGCGCTACAATATGTGGCATTTGAAATACAGCATGTTGTGGTCGCTCTCTGCCTTCTATGTCTTATAATACGATCCACAATTGCTTAAGGTTACGAAAGGGTTGAAACAAGTACTGCGCTATGAACTTGGACGAGGGTATATATCGTCTGGTAATTTTTCTCCAACACAAGTGTTAAACATTGCTGACCATATCCGACTTCCCAAACTCTGCTCGAATATGGAGGACTATACTGTTGTAAATGACTCTGCATAGCTATAACGAGTCCTGATATTGTCACTTGACGCTTAAAAATGCTGGTGTGTTGCACCAATCTCTGCAGCATAATATAGCACTTAGCTTGGACAAAGTACCACAGCAAGAGAGATATCGCTGTAATTCATGAGCAATTAGTAAAAAGAATGAATTTGGTGAGCGACGCTAAGCAAAGTGTAGCCGGTTGACTTGTTTATATTATTGCTTTCATATCCATTAAACAGGCTTCATGACCATTTATATTAATGTTAGCCATGTTAAGTAAACCAAAGTACATTCCATCCAATCAGAGCATGTAAATTGATAACCCATTATAGTAAACAGAATGCCAACCTATACCGGTAATCTCCCTCTCACTTGAGATTTTCTTGGTATGGATACTGAGCAGCTTCCATTGGTACATCGCGATGCTAGCGATTCGCTCCAGCAGCAATTGTCAAGCTACCACGAGCGTCAGCGCATGCGACAACAGCGTCATCGATTTATTGGTACAATGGGACGTGCAACTGTCGGTTTTTTGGCGGCATCGTTAGTCACGTTGCTTCTTGTCGCGCTCTCGTGGCCTGCACAGCGTAATGAACGTTCGCTCGAATTGCGGACGCTACTCGATGCTTATCAGCATGATCGTAATTTCTCTGGTGTTGTACGATTGAGTCATAATGGTCAGAAAAAAATGCATCAAGCTATGGGTCTTGCAAACGTTCCGTTTGAACAGCCAATGGAAGAACATAGTGTCTTTCCAATGGGAGCGCATGTGCAGTTGCTAGTATCTGTTGCCATGTATCAATTACAAGAGCAAGGAAAAGTACAATTAGATCACTCGGTCGAGAAATACTGGACTGAGATGGACTGGCAAGCATTTGGAAAGAATCAAACGACGTGGTGTCCACACATAAAAGAGAGTGTTTCTTGTGAGCGTATGACGTTCCAACACTTGCTTTATATGGGATCAGGAATCCAGGGACAGCATCATGAGAAATTGGCGACTTTAGGTCAACAGATTGGGTCATTTATTGACGTGCCTTTGGCCTTTCAACCAGGCACAAGTTATCAATTTGCTGAGGAAAACTATGTGCTATTGATGTATATGGTCGAACGACTAAGTGGCCTTCCTTTTAATGTTTACTTGACAAAGCATGTGATTCAAGCGTTGGGGCTCAAGCAAACAATATTTGATCCAGATCACGGTGCTCTGCGTGTTCATCGCGGTCTTGTAGATCAGTATGTTCAATTTTATGCCCATCGAAGTATCAATACGAGTCAACTTGATGACATGCATAGCTCAAGAAACTCAAATACAAATGGTCAAAAGTCACACCACATAAGCACTGGGTCGTGTGCTATGTATCAAGCACTTGACTCGAGTCTTCATGGTCTTCTGTCAACAGGAAAAGATATGCACAAGATTTATACGGATCTTTTCCATGCCCATGGGCAAACTTCGAAATTGTTAAAACCCGAATCGATTACGCAGATAGTAACGACTCGTAACCCGACGTATCGTGCATTCGCACAAGGTATTGGTGTTGATTTTGAAGACAATGTGGAAAATTCGGCTACTAATAACCATTGGCCGTCGAAAATCGCTTTTTGCGGTACCACAGCGTGCACAACGACGTGCATGGCCATGCAAATGCCGTCAGTCAATTTGTCAATAATTGCCAGTGCTTTTACGAATGATGTGCGTTTATATTTCTCAAGTGAAGACTCGTTTAAAGCATACAAGCCGCGCGATTTTATTGACATGCGTAATTTGTCAATGCACGATGAATTATTTGAGAAAAGCGATGGCGAAGTTAATACATTGGCATGGAGACTATTGCAGGTATTTCTTCAATTTTACAAGACTTTTGACAAGTAATGCATCAGACTTCTGTAGTAGATTACTACGTGCTGTTTTTTATTCTCTCACAATTGATCTAAGCGTTTGCACATCATAACGTCTTGTTTGGACTAACAAGTGTCGAGTTTGCACCATTCAAATTCCGATCGTTTTCAAGTAAAGTCGGTCTATCTTCTGAAGAAAACCTTTTGGCCTTTTTATCTGAACCACAATCGATGCCATCAGAAAGTAAATGTTTTCCCAAGCAGCTTTGAGGATCGACAAATGCTGTACTACACTTCATCTGTTCCACTACTGCCGTATATAGTTGACAAATTGGTTCTCCAAACGAAATATGGTCAGTTGCTAATTTCAAAACAAATCCAATTTCTTTCTTGCTTGCTAATACAGATGAAAGCCCTCCGGAGAGAAATAGATCACCATTGTTGTATAACTGACTGACGACATCTTTTATTTGTAAGGTCCACATCGGTTTTGGCCAGGGAAATTCACTTGGAATCTCGAAAGTTGTAGAGACCTTACAATAGCCAAACTCTCCTGCTTTCGTCGTATTCTCAGGCATTAAAAATTCTTTCCATTGTGCGTTCTGGAACGTAAATCGTGATGACCACGCCAAGATCTTTCCAAGTCTCAAGCCATATAACCTTACTGGCCAAGGTGCCTTAGGAGGAACGACGAATTCCTCAGGTAGAATCTTGTGCGAATATTGATTCGCGTAGATCTCAAGCAAAGGATCTACGAGATCTTGCCAAGGGATGTCTGTAAGTTTGTAACGAAAGCCAAACGTCTCTAATCTATCTGCATTTAATCCAATCTCGGCAAAATACATTCCACACTGTTCCATCTTTGCCACAATATTTCCAAGTTCTAATCCATAGCTTTGTTCTGGCCATGGTAATCGAGATGGCACGACATAAGTCTCAGGAACTGAACAGTGTCCAAACACCATTGCAAACGTGTGAAGAGCTGGAAAAATAGATGTTTTCCACTCCAATTTATCTTCACCAGAGATAACCACCGCTGCATTTGAATGGTAGGTAGCAATTGCGACATGGCCATTATACGGCTGACCGACTTGTACACACGTTAACATTCGTCGGAGTTCTCGTCCCCACGTCTTATAAGGCCATGGAGAACGGCTTGGTACGACAAAGGAATCACGAAGAATTTTGTTGCCATTTTCATATTGATACACGTCATTAGCGAGCAATACTTGTGCTCTCCAGTCTCGCTCAATTGCCTCTAGATGGCTTAGATTCCACTGTACAATTACGCTAAGGTTAATACCCCATCCATATGTCGGCCACGATTCATTTGATGGGATCGTAAAACCTAATGGAATTGTATCACGAGGATGAAGATTCGCGTACGATGCAATGAGTGGTGCGAGAAGTTTTTCATACGCTGAGATCGAAAGTGGAAGCGAGAACTTCAAATGGATTAATTGATCAGCATTTTGTCCTACTTCTTTAAAAAACGTACCCATGGTCTTCATCATTTCGACAATTTGTCCAAGCGGTACATTCCACATCAATTTTGGCCATGGTGAGGAATTTGACACGACAAAATGAGGCATCACGTCGCAATGATTATTGCGCATGAAAAAGATCTGCAACGTTATTAGAATCGATTGCCAAGCTTCGCGACGACGGTATTGAAGAAATTGCTCTAATTTAGCAAAGGAAGTTCGAGCTAAAGCAACGTGGCCATCGTAACACTCGCGATTGTTTAATCGACGCAAGATAAGAGCAAGATGCATGTTCCACGTTTTGGTAGGCCACGGAGATTGAGATGGAACGACGAATGTTTCCTCAATCGAATGATTGTCATACTCTTGTTTGTACAATTTCGCTGCTGTCAACACATGGTTGCGCCACTCGTCTTCAATATGCGTCATGTGTTGCCTATTCCATCGGACAATAATTCCAAGTTGAATGCCCCACGTTGCCTCTGACCAAGGAGCTTGAGATGGAATAACAAAGTTCTCAGGAATAACAGTTCGTGGTTGAAGGTGTGAAAAAATAGATAATAAAGGAGCTCCGTACAGATCCCACGATGTTTGAGAAAGCTTGAGAGTATACCCAAGTGTATCTATACGATCAGCCATACGTCCAATGTATTCAAATTCTGTGCCGTTCGCTATATAGTCAGCAATTCGTGCTCCAAGTTGTAGACCCCACGTTTCTTTAGGCCACGGAGTTTCAAGTGGTACTTGAAAGTGACTTTCAACTTTGCAGTGTCCGAATACTTTGACAAACGTCTCGAAAGCCAAATATATGTAGATTTTCCATTGTTGATTAGCATTTTCAACCACATTTGATGTTGTGTTTAAGCTATGATGACGCGATTTCCATCCGCTAAATTCAAGAGCCAATCGATCAGAATTTTGTGCACCCATTTGACCTAATGGTAATCCCCACATTTTTCTTGGCCATGGTTGTTGATGTGGAATTATAAAGTTTTTCTGGACTGTACGCTCCTCCGGATACATTGTTGAGTACAATCGTAATAGTGGAATCACCTGCGACTCCCACGTAACATCAGAAAGTCGCATTTCGTAGCCCAACGATTCTAAAAGCGTTGTATCTCGCATTAACTGGACGAAATAGCGTTCTCGCCATTGCGATTTGTTCCAAAAAAGACCAAGTTCGAATCCCCACGTCTCTTTTGGCCATGGATTGGCTAATGGAACGACAAACTCCAGATTTATGCCTTGCTCGTCTCCAAACTCATCCACAAATGTCACAAGAGCTGGAAGAACACAATCTTGCCATTCAACATCCCGTGAATCCCATAGAAATTGTAAACTATTTAACAACTCCCAATCTCGTCTCGATTGGTCCACGTAGCTTCTTCCAGCTCGAATCTGCTTGACAATTGTTCCGAGATTTAATCCCCACATCTCTTTAGTCCATGGTGCACACTTAGGAACTAAAAAGTTTGTTTTAATATTGCAATGTCCGTATTCTTGATAGAAGACGCACAATGCTGGAAGAACTTGTTGCGTCCAAACTCGATCTGCTGCATTCGTACAGTCCATTTTAATCGACTCGTGTTGAGAGCGTAATACGTTAAAGTGCTTTACGTGCTTATTTGGCCGCACAAGAATTTAAATTTGTGTGTATGACGATCATGAAGACCTTGAAACACGTTTTTCTATGTGTGATCGAGGACATCTGGAAATCACGCCCATCCATCTTATCGCCCAATCTATGCGACACCAACAGATAGGTGAATTCTTATTGCTGCATATATTTCTTCAGTTACAGTCCGAATACCGAAAGTTGTAAGAAGTTTACCGTGTATCTAAACTGAGTAAACTGTTAGACCTCAGGGTCGCTTTAGCAAATACATATTGATTCATTGATTTGCTCTTCTGTTCTCCTCCCTTCTTTTCGGTCCCAAATGTTGGTTTATGACGCGAAATCTCAAGTATCAATTGTTTTGTTTCTTCGGTTATGTATTATTGTTAAATGTAAGTAGCTCATACTGATAATAAATATACATATACACGTCCTATCATACGATTCAGATTGTTGCAATGTTTCGAGACTAACAATCCTCGTATTTTAAGATCAAGCACAAGATTATCAGTTTCATGGCTTTGCCGTAGATAAAAACAAATAAAGTCAGTTTTTTTATTTAAACGGAAAATTTAATTGGCTTTGGATTAAGGCAATAATTACTCTTGGAGTAAGCGGATTGCGACCCGATAAACTCGTACTTGTTCCAAGTATAGAACAAAAGGTAGGTGACCTAACTTACGTTTCCTCAAAGCGCAAAGCTACGGCAGTCCCGCTGCAATTGTGCTTAAAACTAATGTATTTTTTCAAATATTGCACATTTGATTAAGATTAGGGTGGCAGACATAAGTGAATATTTTGGTATTCTCAATCCGAGTCATTCTTCCTATGCCAAAATAACACGCTTAAAAGGATTCTAGCTTTCCAGGAGGATAGCTCAGCGGGTGGTTGAAAAGCAAAGGCAATGACCGCTCGCCTGGCCACTTTCACCAACCACGCGTGAAAGTCTAAACAGACATTTTCGGGTAAAATACATCCAAAATGTTCTTCGACAGAGTTTCCACCGAAGTGGCCGTCGAGTGACCATTAGTTTGGATCACGAACTCGCTCTAAACTAAGACTTTAGTGAATTTTGCAAATGTGCTGGACTTGGATGTGTACAATGCTGACCATCCACAGACAAGTAGGCATTATTCTTGTGGCGCAGATATTCCTCCAAGCATTCGTGCAGAGAGACCGCGATGCTTGAATGATAGGCCTTACAGTTTGCGACTACGATTGTATTTCTGTAGAGGCATTAATCCTTTACGTCCAAGTGACTTGTCACACCCGTATCTTTTTCACCCCGGTACGAAATGGCTTCTGCCATAGTGTGTCGAAACGAGTCGACTCGCTAGCTTTAGTTCGGCCACACATCGACAATCGTGGATTTGATAACAATAAGATAAAGGGTCAGGTTTCAGATGCGCGACGCTATGGCTTGGTGGGTAGATCCGCCGTATGTCTGCTGGCAATATTTATTATGTCGCTATGATCGGTTTCAACAGAGAAAATTCGGTATTCGATGCAAGCGAATCATTTAAAAACAGGCACTTCAAGGTACAACGGTAAGATTAAACTTCTATGTCAGTGGGGCTTGTTCGACGTTCACTTTTGTGTGATGTAGTACTCGAGCAACTAATTTCGAGTCCCAATGTTGCCACATTTTGACGGGGACGGTGTAACTGGGTGAGTAGCATTTTGTTGTGTGACCATTACACTCTTGAACAATTGTTCAACGTCCAGAGGCATCAGAGCTCTAAAACTAATTAAAAAAGGAGTATGTCAAATGAATTCAAAAGTCCTTATATTGCAAATTTCTTTGCTACATTTGAACCTGCTACACCTACCAGAATATTCTTGGTGATTCTTCACGATCCGCTACACTGGATTTCCAAATTACTTACCGATAGCCGCTTATCCTTGCATACACAAGCCTGTTTAAATCGGTAAGTACTGCGATATACGTGGTAGCCGCTGTGGCAAAACGATTCCCCTACAACTCCCCCAATCAGCTCGCCCATTGAAATACTAGCCTCACAAAGTGCGCTGAATTTTTTGCAGGTAAAGGTTTTTGACAAGAATTCTGCGGGCATGTCTGTAGTTGAGACATACTCGAGCACGACTTGAGATGTCTTCAATTTTCTCGCGACGAAGTGTTGACGAATGTCAATATGTTTGATGCGCTGGTAAAACTTGACAGGCGCGATAGCACCGGGATTATCTTTAAAAATATTGTGAGTGTCATCTAGATTATCTTGACATGCTTCCATAGAATTCCTCAAGCCATACAGCCTCGTGCGTAGACTCTGATAGCGCCATGTCATTAATTCTATAGATGACAGGGCCAGGTCTCTCTGCTTCATTCCTTTCTAGCTGACACACCTGCTGTTCATCACGATTGCGTAGACATTTGTGCTTCTTCTTGATTAAAGGTCACCTGCCCAGTCGGCATCTTAGTAGCCTTGAAGCCCAAAGTCTTTTACCACTTGAAACTCAATAACGTTAGTTTTTGTGTCTTTTATGTATCTGAAAAGTTGCTTGAGCGCTTGCCAAGTGTTGGATGTGAGTCTACTACGAACTGACTCAGCATTCTCTCTTCAAAGTTGCTGCTTTTAAATTCATCCGGCAAACGGTAAGCTGGTAATTGGCTGCCAAACTCAGCAGTTAAACTTGGTTACAGATGCAAGCGTTTCTTCAGAGTCAAAACCATAATTTTCTGAGCATCACTTGGCAAACAATACGGGCCTTCTATCACTTAATCTTGCCATCTTGTTTTTTCTTGACGCAAAATATTCATTTATTGCCGAATTCCTGATGACATTTCGGTTGTGGCACAAGTGTACGAGGCATTTGCTTGCAAAAAGATTTGATCTCAAGATGACACGCTTCTTGCCCTTGTCTGGGTCGCTGGATTCTATCACCAACTTAACAATAGTCGGCATTTCTTCCACGAAATTAACGATGCACGCAGCTTCAAACTCTTGTTGCATCGGCGGACATCTCGTCAAGGTTTTGGTACCGACGCTACGGCGTAGTTCCCCATGACCTCCCAACGAACTTGTCTTGTCGACTTCGTCCAGCAAAATAAACTTCCTTGACGAGCTTCATGTTTTCAGTGACATCCTTTCGCTCTGGAAATGCATCAGTCTTGCTCAATGCGACTTCGTTATCATGATCTTTTCATTCCACGTGGTGTTACCATTGACGTAGTGATACCACGAACCGCTCGGAACACACTGTCGCCCGCAAGATGCTCTTTAAATGAGGCAATCATTTTTTTAATTCCTAATACTCTCTCTCGTATACGCCATGAGCTGCAGCACACCGAAGCTAGACAGCCCATACGCTGCTTAGCTTGGTGACACACAATGCACCTTTGCCGAGAGAAATTTATCGCCACATTCTGCGCAACGCGAATCTGAGTAGGACACTTGTCAATTTGAATGCACTTGCTTGACAAGCACCATTCGTCTTCATCGGTACTTGTCGTCCTTCGCGCCGTTCCCTATCCGTTATTATGAACGCTAAACCTTGCCCGCTCGCGGCTCCACCAGTGCTAGCACCTTAGTTCCTGCGCTCCATATCTTCAAAAAGGAGTCGAGACGTCAGTAGCTCCCAGCTCTCGACTATAATGCCGTAATCAGAATTGCATACGACTCACTTAAACAAGTCGTCCTTGCTGGCCGAGGCATTTACAGCGTTGAGTTGGCTCGTTAGAGTCCTAAATTTATACATGTGCTCCAGTGTTGATTTGAACGCTGAACCTTGCCCGCGCGCGGCTCCACCAGTGCTAGCACCTTAATTTTTGCGCTCCGTATCTTCATGAAGGAGTCGAGACGTCAATAGCTCCCATCAAGAATGCATGCGACTCATTTAAACAAGTCGTCCTCACTGGCCGAGGCGTCTACAGCGTTGAGTTGGTTCGTCAGCAACCTAACTTCATTTATGTCTTTCCAGCGCATAATCACTTTCGGAAAAATCATTGTTACGAAACAAATGTGATAGACTGTTTTCTCAAAATGCGACCCCAGACGCGACCATGCATCGTGCGCACTCTCCGCTGACCAAATCAAGGGCGACTGCGCATCTTCCATCGCAAGACAGATATTTTTCATGGTCTGGTCATGATAAGCAATAAATCGATTTCTTTCATTGAGCCGATTGCGACCTCGTCTTCCGCTTATGCACGCTGACGACAGAATAAAGAATTCGAAGCTCGTAAATGTCGCGCATTATTTCAACATCCAAAATGTCTTATGCGGGTAGATGCCGATGTCACCAAGCTGTGCGTAAATTATGAGGCCACCAGGGATAAAACATATGACAACATCACGTGTTTAACGTTTTGCTCTCACATTTCTGGCGATGTGCGCTTGTGTTGAATCCAAAATATCTTACTGACTACTGGCAGCGTTAACGAGGTAGAGCTGAACGTCAACCAATCGCTTAAAAAGACGCTTTGACCCATGTCTTGCTTTGGGGCGCCACCATCACGCCATCCACTCTCTCAAAGCTCGCATTTTTGCTGTCTTTTGATATCAATGTTGGCAAGAAATTGCTTTCGGTGTGCACGCATGTGCATCGATACATATCACGTTCAGGAAGCCGCAATGTGTCGACGCTAGCGACATCCGCAGACTGATCGGGCATGAATGAAGTACACAGCCGCTTTGCCCATCAGGATTACATGAAAGCCATGAGCGGCAAATATTCTTGCAGGGACTTCACGTGCGCCCCACGATGGCGTCCTCAATGAGAGTCGTGATGTCGGATGGGGTGACGGCGGAACGTCACATATCGCTTCATGAAGTTTCCACTCTAGTGGCTAGTCGCAGCAAACGGCGCTTGCGTCGTGTCATCACCGGGGATAGAAGTGTTGTTTGCTGACTCCATGTCGGCAAGTCATGTTCACGTCATTTCGCTTTTCCATGAGCTTGCCAGCCAACAAGTCCTTCATAACGGTAAGAAGGCTTCGCTCCCGCTAACTCGCACGCGGTCAATGCAGACTGGCCGCCAAGATGGCGCCTTATTTCTGTCGCTGGTAACTGCTCTATCAACGAGTAACCTAAGCAATCGACAGTAGGTCCACACAAATTATTGTCATGTGTCTTCATCGGCCGGTCACCTCAGTTTTCGCCACATGTGATGGTATTGTGGCGATCGTTGGTACTCACAAAGTGCAGCGGGGCTGCCGTAGCGCTTTGCTTAGAGAAAGCTGACTAAGGTCACCGACCTTACGTTCTATACCAGAATCTGTGCGAGTATAGCGGATTGCAATCCGCTACCACCAAACGTACCCAAACACTCAACGAAGGCAATTACACTCTTTCGTTCAGCACTGAAATTGCTTTATTTGCAACAGAGCCGCCTATGTCTGAAGCCTTAGGATTTCCTAACTAAATGGTGAAACCTGATTAATATGTATAACTACTGGAAGTCCTGCCACGTAGTGGCTTCTTGTTACGGTGTAGCCACACCACTGAGTGCACCAATTTGTATAATTCACACCATCTTGTGTGACCCACCCTTTCATACAAGGGTACGTGTAACCCCGTTTCACTCCCCCCATCAAAATTGTGAATGTCCACATATCTCATCTAACTGTCGCCTCATACGAGGCTCGCGTGTCTGAGACACCGTTGCGTCCTTGATACCATCTTTAAACATTCTCCGCTCAATGAGCCCTGTGTCTATGACACGAGAAACACTCAGCCTCGCTGGCTCTGAGGGCGCCCGCAGACTGAGCCCTTCTTCGTCGCCTGCACACGGTGCAACTCCGGACACTACGTCCGTGGCCTCACTGGAAGCACATTCCAAGCCCGCGGCAACCGGGCACGACACACCGCGCCCGCCGCGGACGACGGATTTCCTCTTCGAGGACTCGGAAGAAGTCGACTACGAGTCGGGTACTCTTTTGCTAGCATGGAAAGACTAGATGAACGAGGTGCGTCAACGGCGCGACGTGGGCCTGCAGACACCGTTCCGTTCCTGGCCTCTCGACTTCTGAGGAGTAAGTAATTATCACCAATCGCCTCGATGAGGCACAGGAGCAGCAGTTGGAGGCTGCCCACTGTGCGGCTCTCATGCGCTCGTATCTACGTTTCGTCCTAGACCCTCGTGTGGAATTCGGTGTCTGCTCGGTGGATCCCGCTACTGAAGCAAAAGACGCAATCACTCGATCGTTAGGCGACTACCTAGTCGGGCTCCCGGCCACTACACAAGCTGAGCTCGTATAGCAAAAATCTCTCTGAGCTTGCTTTTTGGTAACTATAAAGTCCAAATAGAAAGGTAACGCGCTCACCTTCGAGCTCAAAGAGGAGGCGCTCCTGTACTCGCAATGCGGACGTTTTCTGTGGTGTTCGGCCCTGGCAAACCCGCTGCAGATAATAAGGAGCTCTCTTAGCGATGGGTGCAGCGGCACCGGAACCTTTTCTCGCTGTCTAACTTACAGCGGAGCCACAATAAAGTAGACGTGCGCGTAGAACGCCATCTTCGATTGAGTTTGCCAAACTCAAGGCGCAACGCCGACTTCCTGCGTATTATCGCCCTGCGACACATGAAATAATCCAACACGCCTTTGCGAGCTCCGTGGTTTTGCACAAGGGTGAGTCTACGTCCACAGCAGCTCAGGGACATAGCTTGAGGTCAGTTCATGGCCCTTCGGCTTCCCGGGCTACTGCCGAAAAGCGCGGGGCGCGTGACGATGCGGAGCGTCATGAAATGGTGGACGCCAC